CCTTTTTTCCTTCCTTCCTCCCTCCCTCCATCCCTGTTTCCTCCCTCCCTCCTTTTCTCCCTCCTTCTTTCCTCCCTCCCTCCCTCCCTCCCTCCCTCCCTCCCTTCCTTCCTCCCTTCCTTCCTTCCTTCCTTCCTTCCTTCCTTCCTTCCTTCCTTCCTTCCTTCTCCCTTCCTCCTTCTCTCCTCCCTCCCTCCCTCTCCCTTCCTTCTCCCTCCCTCCCTCTCTCCTCCCTCTTTCTCTCCCTCCTTCCTTCCCCCCTCCCTCCCTCCCTCCTTCCTTCCTTCTTCCTTTCTTCTCCCTCCCTCCCTTTCTCCTCCTCCTTTTCTACCTCCTCCCTTCCTCCCTCCCTCCCTCCCTCTCTCCCTTCCTTCCTTCTGTCCCTGCTCCTCCTTTCCTCCCTTCCTCCCTTCCTCCCTTCCTCCCTTGGACACCACGGCGTACAAAGCTGTTCAGATAGAATCGTCTCAGCTTACACTGTTGCCTCCTTCCCTTCGCCAATGCTCCCGGTTCCCTCCTACCCACCCACCCTAGGCCCCTCGTCAGGCAGTTACTAATCTATTTCTTATTACTCGTTCCTACAAAACTTAAAGGAATGGCAAATGGAATTATCATAAAATAAATCAATAAAAGTCAATTTGTGGTGATTGATTGCTGTTCTTAACCTTTCCTAGTTTGGTAGAGGACAACCATATGCATCGCTGATGAATGCCGCGTGACGGGGAGTTTCTCCGTCCTTTCAAGCTCTTCAAATGCTCCTTGCAAACAGGTTTCCAGGCTCTGGATTCCCTCAGCCGCCGCCTGTGTGCGCACCTCCCACGTTCCCTCAGACCCGAGAGCAGTCGGCCCGACCACCACTCTGGGAGGAGTCTCTGCCCTGTGTGTCCACACTCCCGGGCACAGCGGCCTTTCCCTGGGGGACACTTGGCCCAGGCACGACCCGGTGTCCTGTGCACAGCGTGGCTGCCCCCTCACCATCAGACGCCCGGTCTCCAACAGCCTAGCAATGGCCCAGGGGGCTGGGTGGTCCCGGGGGCTGGCTGTGGGCCTTCAGCAGCAGGCTAGGCCAAAGCCCCCACCCGCCTGCAGTCCTTAGGCCAAGCCCCCACCCTCAAGGCCTGCAGACCCTCCTGCAAACTATAGCCTGTGCAAGAGCCCTGCGGCCTGGTGTCAGCCCAGCAGCCAGCATCAGGGCCAGACACGTTCAGAGAGGACAGTGAGGGCCAGAGACACCAGCATACCACACTCCCGCACCGTCCCACACGCATGCACACGCATACCCATAGAGCAGCACACACATACAACTCACACGCATGCACACGCACGCACACACAGCAGCACACATCCACACCGTCTCACACGCATGCACATGCACACACATGCAGCACCACACACACACAACTCACACACATGCGCGCACGCACACACACACACACATACAGCACCACACATGCACAACTCCAACTCATAGCTGGGCTGGGCTGCTCTGGGCTGGGTTGTCCGGGCTGAGCTGTTCTGGGCTGGGCTCTGGGCTGGGCTCTGGGCTGGGCTGGGCTGGGTTCTGAGCTGCTCTGGGCTGTTCGGGGCTGGGCTCTAGGCTGCGCTCTGGGCTGGGCTGTTCTGTTCTGGCCCGGCTGGGCCTGGGCTGGGCTGGGCAGGGTGGGTGGACTTGGCTGCCCAGTGTGCTCTGTGCTCTCAGCTGACGTGCGTGTCCCCAGCCCCGCCCTGCTGTGGGCCCTCTGGCTGTATGAAGGGGCCCCCATGGGTCCCTGGCTGTGGCTGCCGCTTCCTGCGTTTCCCTGGGGCCCCCGGAAGCAGGCCTGCCCAGCGGAGAGGCCTGGCCAGGAGTCGGACCTTGGTGCAGCCGGGAGCAGCAGCGGGTGTGGGCATCGGCTTGCTTCCCTCCAGCGCCCGAGGCCGGGGACGCTCACAGGGCAGAGGCAGGGGGACACTGAGGCCACACAGACACGTGCTGACCACAGGCAGAGACCCTCCCCCCCAGACCCCCGGGAGAGGCGCGGCAGGGAGCAGAGACGCCCCCACAGATCCCCAGGAGGGCCCGGGCAGGACCCAGCCTGTGGCACGGGGCCTGAGCTGCTGCTGGGGGGCAGGGACAGCTGGGGTAGCGCCAGGCGTGGGGACCCGCCCCCTGCGGGGCAGCCGTGGGCTCCGGGTGAAGGGGCCTCACGTTTGAAGCCCCAGAGGAGAGACGGGTGACGGGGGCAGGACGGGCCTGGTAAGGGGCTGTGGGGAGGAGGGAGGGCAGGGGGCAGAGGACGGGTGCGAGATGCCCCGAAGGCAGGGCTGGGGTGTGGGGACACAGGCCCGGGCAGAGGCCAGACCAGCCGGGCCCCTGGGCAGCTCTCTGCAGACGCAAGGTCACAAGATTGCTTCCCAGCCTCTCACCTCTGACCCCAGCTGGGAGAAGCACAGAGGTGGGCAAGACCAGCTCTGTAGGAGGGGCAGGAGTAGGAGTCCACCTGCAAGGGCCGCCGTGGCCCGAGGGGCCTGCTGCAGTCTCAGGCCTGGACCTCAGGAAGGTCAGAGGTCACTCTCGGGAAGGTCAGAGGTCACTCCCAGGAAGGTCAGGGTCACTGCTAGGAAGGTCAGAGGCCACCCTTAGGAAGGTCAGAGGTCACTCTTGGGAAGGTTAGAGGTCACTCTCAGATAGGTCAGAGGTAACTCTCAAGAAGGGAAGGTCAAGGTCACTCTCAGGAAGGTCAGGGTCACTGCATGCTGCGCTTCCCCAGTGGGTGGTGAAGGGACTGTCCCTTTCACACAGCACAGGACTGGACACAGGTGGCCACTGCAAGCATGCAGGAATGGGTCCCCGGGGGTCCGCAGGGGTTCGTGTGGGTCTGTGGGTATGTAGGGGGTTCTATGGGTGTCTGTGGGGTCTGGGAGTCTGTGATTGTCTGCAGGGCCTGGGGGGTTTGGGGGTCTGGGGCTCTGTGGGGGGTCGGGGGTCTGGGGGGAGGGTTTCACAAGTTGCCAAGTCGGTTGTGCGAGTGTGGACATAACGTGAGTTTCCTGCAGCCTGGAGCTGGCCCGGGGGTCCCCAAGCAGGGAACAGAGAGGGCCGGGGGCAGCCCTGGTGCCTTCCTGGTTCCCCTGAGTGCTGGAGGGTGGGCGGGATGCTAGGGACAGTGGGCAGGGAGCAGGTCAAAGCAGCCACCACGGAAACAAGCATTTCAGATGCAAAGATTCAAACGCAAACACGAAACATCTCCTGTGGAAAACGGACTTCTCCATTTCTCCAATTATTTGCAGATAAAATGGTTTCCAGAAAGAAAACAAGTGTCCTGTTCTTTCACATTTTTGTGGCATTCTTTGTGGTATTTCTCATCAGCCCGGGCAGGGCACCACTCAGGAAGTCGTGGTCAGGGGCCAGCGGCTCCCGGGAAGGCTCCGGGGGCAGGAAATGGGCCTCCCTGCTGCAGGGCCCAGGACCCTGCCACCCCACAGCTGGGCCCAACCCGGGGCTCCCCCAGGCTCTGCCCTGCAGAACCCCAGGTCCCATCCCCTGAAGACCCCCTCAAACTCTCCTGAAAACTCCTGTAACCCACACAGACCCCAAGAGCCCCTGTAACCCCACAGACTCCTGTAACCTCATAGACCCCTGTAGCCCCCAGACCCCTATAGCCCACAGAACCCTATAACCCCACAGACCCCTGTAGCCCACAGACCCCTGTAGCCCCCAGACCCCTGTAGCCCACAGACCCCTGTAGCCCCCAGACCCCTGTAGCCCACAGACCCTCTTGCAAACCTTCTCTTAACCCCCATGAGTGACCCTGTAGGCCCCTGTAACCCTGTAAGCTGCAGACCCCCAGGCTCCCCGGGGCAGCGGCAGAGGCCTGGGTGGGGTCCCCTGGCCCTGGCTGCTGGCGGGTCCCCAGCCCAAGAGGGTGGGGATGGGAAGTGGGGGTGGAGGGACGGAGGCCGGCCTGCAGCTGGGCTGAGGGAGCTATTTAAGGCGGCTCCTGGCGGGTGTGTCCTGGTCCCTCCAGGGAGCTGCCGCGGGCACTGAGGAGGACGCACAGGTGAGCTGTGGGCACTCTGGGGGCAGGGTCACTGTCCGTCTGGGGACCCTGCACCTCCGGGGGCCCTCTGCAGGGCCTGACGAGGGGCCTGGGCTCTCCCTCCCGGGGACAGACAGGCAGGCAGCAGGGGGTCTGGGTGGGACCCCTGTGCCCCCCCCCCCCAGAGCCGCACACGCCCGCCCGCCCCAGCTTGCCGGGGGTCGTCTCCCCAGGCACTGCCAGCTGCTGAGGGTCCGTTTCCCAAGGGGACCCTACTGGCGCCCCCCAACCCACCCTGGGTGCCCCCCAGGACCGACTCTCCTGCTCTCAGGGGCAGGTGGGGGTCTCCACTTCCCAGCAGCTTAGCCCCCAGCTCGCCCCTGGGCGTTCGTTCCTACCCCGGACAGCACCTCGGGCCCAGGGACCCGGGCTGAGCTACGAGAGGGAGCTGTGGGCTCAGTCTGCGCCTTGGGTCTTTGCCGTGTCCCTGCCGTGTCCTGCCATGTGCCTGCCGTGTCCCTGCCATGTCTCTGCTGTGTCTCTGCCATGTGCCTGCCATGTGCCTGCCATGCCCCTGCCATTTGCTTGCTGTGTGCTTGCCGTGTCACTACCGTGTTCCTGCCATGTTTCTGCCGTGTACCTGCTGTGTCCCTGCCGTGTCTCTACCATGTGCTTGCTGTGTTCCTGCCATATGTGCCTGGGACATTCAACACTCCAGCAAGAGTGCCCTTTCGGGTGCTGGAGCAAAGTGCTTCCCGGGAGTCCTGTGCTCGACCCACTGACACCCCCAGCCCAGCCCCTTCGCCACCCCCCCCACCCCAGGCCCTGGGCACAGGCCAAGACAGCAGAGGCTGTTCCTGGCCTCAGGGAGCTCACGGGTGTCCCCAGCCCCTCTGCTGCAGACCCCACATGGCTCAGGCAGGAGTCCCCTCTCAGCCAGCCTCACGCCTAACCACCTCTCCCCCAGGAGCTCGGAGCCGACATGACGGAGACCTCCAGACCCGCCTTTGCAGGCCGGCGAGCTGTACCCCGCAACACGTCCAATGGGGCCGAGAATGAGCTGCCCGAGAAGGAGCTGCAGGGCCTGGTCCCCAGGGGCTTCAACCCGCAAGGTACGCGCCATGCTTCTGGGCATCCCTGGGCATCCCAGGGTGTCCTTGAGCACCCTGGGGGCCCTGGGCGTCCCCAGATGTCCCCAAGTGTCCCTGGGTGCCCCTGAGTTTCCCTGAGCATCCCTAAGTGTCCCTGGATATCCCTCTGTGTCCCTGCATGTCCCTGGGCATCCCCAAGTCCCGGCGCCTCCAGTCTGCCCCCACAGGGGGCCTCACCGGCCCCTGGTCTCATGAAAGGGCCCCAAAACCCTATCCAGCGCCAAGCTCCCAGGGCCGAATTCTGCCTGTCTCTGCCCAGGTGTGAGGCTGTGTCCCTCCCCTCCGTCCTGCAGGAGGGACTCTTGGTGGTCACTCAGTGGGGTGTCCACCTCCCCACTGGGTCTGGGGTGGACAGAGCAGGGACATGGGTGTGCCCAGATGGCGCCTGGGGGTGCCCTCCCCCATGCTCATCCCAGGCCTGAGCAGAGATAAGCCCTGTGCGGGACCGAGATGGGGGGGGTGGGGAGTTGGAGGGGTTGGCCCTGAGCCCTGGGGGCAGGCCTTGCGAGACCCAGCCGGGCCCCATGAGAACGGGCATGGTGCCCTGGCAGGGCCAACACCACCGGCCAGTGCAGGCCTCCCCACGCAAGGACAGGCTGAGTGTGTGGGTGCCCCACGAGCCCAGACCAGTCCCCTCCCTCCCCCCTCCTCATCCCCCCCCCCCACAGAAGGCACTAGAATCAGGCCCAGGGGCAGGAAGTGGGGGCGGGGGAGTGAAACGCATCCACAGGTCCCCCAGGCTCTGGCCACCACTGCCCCCACCTCATGCCACACCCCAGGCCTCAGTTTCCCCACTGGCCGAGTGTGGGACTCCCGGGTGTGCCTGAGGTGACTGGTCTGTAGGCCAGACCCCACGTGCTGCCCAGGGGGCCCCTGGGGGACCCAGCGTGTGTCTGGGTCCCTGCGGAGCTCAGGACTCAAGGACCAATGCTCTGATTGGCATTGGCTAAGGCCTGCATGCCCACGTGCCCATGCCTGTGTCCCCATGTGCCTGCGTGCCCATGTTCCCAAGTGCCCAGGTGCCCCTGTGTCTGCATGCCCGCAAGCCCATGTGCCCGTGTCCCCCTGTGCTTGTGTGCTGTGTGCCCATGTACCAGTGTCCCTACGTATCCATGTGCCCATGTCCCCGTGTGCAGTGTGCCGTGTACCCCCATGCCGTGTGCCCGCAGCTGTGCCGGCGCAGCCCAGACTAAGTTGACTTTGGCGGCAGGCCTGGGCAGGCCGTGCTCTGGGTCACTTTGGAGAATGAGCCCCTGTCTGCCGGGAGCTGGGCCGGGCGGGTCGCCGCGCGGGCTGACTGGAATGTCCAGGGCTGTGCCCGGCACAGGCTGACTCAGTGTGCGCCCGGATCACCATGACCCGCCTTCTCCCCCTGGACCCCAGAGCTGGCCTCTGCGTCTTACCCCCTGTGGGCAGGGCTGGACCCAGGGCCAGTCTGGGCCCTTCCTGCTTCCATGAGCGGGTGGGGGGGTGCTCAGCATGTCAGAGTTGCCAGGTTCCCCCCCCTTGGGGCCCCAGGGGCCCCATGGCCACCGGCTTGCAGTTCCCTCAGCAGCCAGAGGAGGCGCAAGGGGCACTTGTAGCTCCAACTCCCAGACTGAGGTCCAGGCCGTCAGGGCCCAGGAGGGCAGGTCCTGCGTGCACCTTCACCTCCTTTCTTATTTTGGGGGTGACTTGGGGCCACATTGGTCAATGCTGACTTAATCCTGGCTCTGCGCCTAGGGTCACTGCTGGTGGGCGTAGGGGACCCTGGGTGATGGGGGAGGGGCTGGTCTTTTGTGTGAGGGCCAGCATCCAGGGCCAGCGCCATCCCCCCGGGCTCTCCAGTCCAGCCCCCCAGCTTCTGAGGAGGTTTCTCTCCTCCTGTCCCTGCCCACTAGCTGGAGCGATAGCACAGCGGGAAGGGCGTTTGCCTTGCATGCGTCCGACCTGGATTCGATTCCTCCATCCCTCTCGGAGAGCCCAGCAAGCTACCGAGAGTATCCCGTTCTCACTGCAGAGCCTGGCAGGCTCCTAGTGGCATATTTGATATGCCAAAAACAGTAACAACAAGTCTCACAATGGAGATGTTACTGGTGCCCACTGGAGCAAATCTATAAACAAAGGGAGAACAGTGCTACAGTGTTACAGTGCTACAGTGCTACAGTGTTGCAGTGCTATAGTGTTACGTGCTATAGTGTTATAGTGCTACAGTGATACAGTGTTACAGTATTACAGTGCACAGTGTTACAGTGCCATAATGTTATAGTGTTAGAGTGTTACAGCGCTACAGTGTTGCGGTATTACAGTGCTACAATGTTACAGTGCTATAATATTATAGTGTTACAGTGTTACAGTGCTACAGTGTTACAGTGCCACAGTGATGTCCCTCCCACAGCAACATAGTCTCTGAAAGTCCCTCAGTTGTTGGTTCTCAGGAGGGGGTGGGGGCTGGGGTTGTCCTGCCTCTGTCACGCCCAGAGCGCAGAGCAGACTCCCACGTGTAGACCCCCCTGCCCGTCCTGGTGGGCTGCTCTTCAGGGGTCCGTCAGCTCCGATTCCTGCCGCCCCCCGGGACAGCCAAGGGTGAGGCGAGGGTTGACGGCTGCGTGGTCTGCACAGGTGCCTGGTCCCCAGTGGGCCCCTGCATGCCCTGTGTATATCCTGCGTGTCCCCTGTCCCCCATGTGGACTCACCCTCCTGCCCGACAGGCCTGTGCCCGGGCTGTCCCCTCACATAGGAGTGTGGTATTTAGAAGGTAACACACTGGGCACGACGAGGCCTCGGGGGCGCCTGGCCACTCCCTCGGTCCCCCTGACATTCCACAGTGGCCCAGGCTGTGGGTGGGGGTGGGCTGAGGGTGGGCATGAGCGCTGCATGCTGACCCTGTGTTTGACCCGAGCACTGAGCTGGGAGCCCTGGGTTGTGCCCTAGACTGGGCTCTGTGCCGTGCCCGACCCGGGGCCTGGATGACAGGTCAGCATCTCCCATGGCACCCCTCACTCCCATGTCTGGGCGGGAGGCGCTGGCCGGGGGCTGCCTGTCCGTGAGCTCCTATGACCCTCCCTGCAGGTCCAGTGTGGTGCGTCCAGAGTGGGTGGGGACTCCGAGTGGATGTGGGCTCCCGTCCCCTCGTCCTTCCCACCTGCCCTCGCTCCCTCATGGGGGCGTCAGCCACCCAACAACTGGTCAGTCGTCCCTTCCGCAGGACTGAGAAGGGTCTCGAGGACCAGCTGCCCGATCCTGGGCATGGCCGCACTGAGGTCAGCACTGGACAGTGCTCAGGGTCCCTGGTGGCCATTAGCCTCTCTGCAGTGGACACTGCCATAGGGCAGGGTGTGCTATGACTGAGTTGTGCTTGGCATGGCCATGAGTGGGCAGGGCAGGGTGAGGAAGGGCCTGGCCGGTCCCAGCACTGAATCGAGGTGGACGTGGGGGTGGACCTGAGGGCAGGGGCCAGCAGGCACAGGGGAGCTCTGACTCTCTGAACAGACCCTGGCAGTCGGGACGAGGGGAGAGCCAGCACTGGGCACGGGGTGGGCAACGGCGCTCTCCCGGCCGGACAGAGGGGTTGGGGACACGTGCCTACGAGAGGGCAGGGAAGCGTTTCCATGGCTCCAGTGGGCGATGCTCGGGCAGGGGGAACCCAGAGTCCTCGTCCCAGCTCCATCCCTGCTGGGGGGTGGCTGCCCACTGCTGCCCGGCCCCTCAGGAACTAGACCCTCTCTCATCCCCAGCTTCCGTCCACGACAGGCCCCACCACCCTCTGAAGGATGTTGCATCACCTGGGGAGAGAATAATCCACTTTTTCCACCTTAGGCGGGGGCGGGCGGTGGGAGGCCAGGGGGGCCTTCACAGTCCATTTCCCCGAGTGAGGGGCCGGGCGGGACTGGGCAGTTGGTCCTTCTTTCCCGAAAGTGTCACTGAGGCAGCAGCCACTTCCGAGGCCTGAGTTTATTTATGGGCTGGGGCAGGCGTGGCTCTTCGTGGGGCCTAGAGGCCAAAGTCATTTCCTGTTTGCAGAGCGGGAGGCCGTTAACAAGAGCCCCTTGTCAGATGGGGCCCGGCCGGCTGTTGGGGAAGCCGAGATCTGCGGCCAAGATGGGGGCCAGCAGGGGTGCCCCACCAGGAGGTGCGCAGGAAAGGGGCCCAGCTGGCGGGGCTGGAGCGTGGGGACCCCCGGGCGACGGCTGACCTGGCGCCGCCTCCTCCCTGCCCCTGCCCCTGCATCCTGGGTTGGACGAGACAGCCTGTCCTGCCTGGACACCAACCCGCCCGCAGACCCCCGCCGAGGCTACATCCCAGCGCTGGGTCCCTCTGAGCTGCCGCCCTTCTTGTCAGGCTGCCCCTCTGGCCCACACGCTCGCCTCTGTGTCCAGAGCGTGGCGGGGGCTGCCCAGCGCTGCCCGTTTGCACTCCCAGGGCACCGAGTTTCCCCTCTGAAAGGGTCTTTGTGCGAGTGCTGGAGACGCAGCTCAGACAGTGACACTGAGGCGTCGTCTGCAGAGCCCCGGGACACTCTGCTCTGAGAGTGCTGGCCAGGACAGCGCCTGGTGACCGAGCAGCTGAGAGCGGTTCCGGAGCCCTCGTGCACTTGCTCCCCCCGGGGGCCGAGACCTGGGCAGGGGTACCGGACACCGCCAGCCTGGGGGGCCGCTTGGGCTCACAGCGGAGAGTGGTCAGCACTTTCCAGGGCTCCTGCCCCTGAGCCTGAGAGCCAGGGGCCGTCTCTGAGGGACGAGTGGTCAGTTCCGGACTTGGCCCTCTCAGGCCTGGCACAGCAGCAGGAAGGGATGGCCAGGGGCTGTGCTGCCGCGTCTCAGGGAGAACCTTCGTTCCCCTGGACTTGATTGGCTTGTGGACTTCCTGCTCAGGGTTACTCTTGGCTCAGTGCTCGGGGGCCATATTGGGTGCTGTAGCTCACCCTGGTCAGCTGTGAGACAAATGCCCTCCTGCTGGCTATTGTGCTGACCAGAACCCCCCTGTCAGGACTGGTGAGGCTAGTTACAGGGACGGTCCATGATGTGGGGGGGTCAGCAGGAGACACGAGCTCCTTCCCCCACAGGCACCCAGGGGAGGCCTCGGCTGCAGAGAGGCCGCTGCCCTGAGCCCGAAAGACCCCGAGAGAGGCCACAGGTGTGGGGGTCTCGGTCCTCCCCCTCTAACCCACCACCCTACCCCTTTCAGGAGGGGGGATTCAGGCTGACAGGAGTGAATGGGCGTGGGAGACAACCAGGCAGGCCAGGCTGCCCCAAGCACCTCCAAGGCCAGTCTCCGAGTGCCTGGGAAGTGCCCAGCGGTCCAGCAAGAGCCTGAGTGACTGCGTGAACTTGGCTTGGCCGAACCTGGAGCCTTAGGGCCTGGACTTCCCAGGCCCTCAGGCTGACCCGAGGATCAGCCTGTGGCCAGTGTGTTGCCCAGTCCTGCGGGGGGCAGGGCGGAAGCAGAGGCCAGAGCTGTGAGAATCAGTGCCGTGAAGTGGACACAGCCCTTTCCCGGCCTTGCCAAGAGGGACTAGGCGCGGGTGGGTGGCCGCCCAAGCCCGGACCTTCACTCCCACCTCCAGCCCCGGTCCAGGTTTCTCCTAGAGTTCCAGCCCAGTGGCCGTTGGGGGGTTTCTCTGCCCAGCCCCACACTCCTTCGGGCCCGCGGGGGTGTCTGGCCCACCCCTCACCTTCATGCTCCTCCATCCCCCAATCCTCCCCCCCCTTCCTCCCCACCCGCTCGGCTTTCTCACCCTTCGACCCCTGGTCTGGGCTGGAGCCCCCCTCCCCCTTGCCTCCCACTTCCTTTTCGCTCCCCGGGCGACTTTGTCGTAACTCTGGGCCTCCCTTTGGGGCCTCCCGCTGTTCGTTTACGGACCTTGTATTTCTTAGACCGCGCCTTAATCAACATTTATGTTCCTGGCTGAGATGACAACATAAAAGTGCGGGCAGGTTCCCGGGGAGGGGAGGGGGCGGACAGGCAGACTGGGAGGCGGGAGCTGAGCTCCGAGATGCAGTTTCCTTCCGTGGGGATGAAGCGAGACGACCCCCAGGGCAAGCACCTGCCCAGGCCCTGCACGTGCTCAGCCACTGAGCTTCCCAGCCCCGAGACACAGCGCAGGAGGGCTTGGCTCTCCCGGCCGCCCAGCATGAGCCGGCCAGGCCAGGGGACTGCCCGGCACCCCGTGCTCCACCCAGGCACCCCTGGCCCCCGGGCAACCCTGCGCGGCCCTGGAGGCCCAACACCCTCGGGTGGGACCTCTCGTCCCCCAGCTGAGAGTCGCCACCAGGGCCCCTGAGCCTCCGGGGCTCTATGTGGGGCCCCAGAGACGCCGGCCACGAGCTGTCTGAGAGTCTAAAGCAGCAGAAACCGCCCTCTGAGGCGCAGAATCTCCTGCTCCTGCTGGAAACGGCAGCATCAGAGGAAGAGGCGGGTTTCAGGTAGAACAGAGAGATGGAGCGGGTGGTTCTGGAGTGGCTCCTCCTGTCTGTCTCTGTGCTGTCTCTGTTGGGCCTCACCTGGCAGTGCTCAGGGCTCGGTCCTGCTCCGGGGGTCTGAGGTCGGGATGGACCCTGGGTCAGCCGCATGCAAGGCCATGCCCTTCCCGCCGTCCTCTGCGTCTCAGGGATTGTTGAAGACCTGCAACGCGCTTTCTGCAGGAGGAAGCTGTCCAGTGTCCAGTCAGACAGGGCAGGGTTGAAGGCGTCTATGGGGAGGGTTAGAGTGGAGGGTAGGGGTGCAGGGCAGAGGATAGGGGTGCAGGGTGGAGGGTAGGGGTGCAGGGTGGAGGGTAGGGGTGCAGGGTGGAGGGTAGGGGTGCAGGGTGGAGGGTAGGGGTGCAGGGTGGAGGGTAGGGATGCAGGGCGGAGGGTAGGGGTGCAGGGCGGAGGGTAGGGGTGCAGGGCGGAGGGTAGGGGTGCAGGGCGGAGGGTAGGGATGCAGGGTGGAGGGTAGGGGTGCAGGGTGGAGGGTAGGGATGCAGGGTGGAGGGTAGGGGTGCAGGGCGGAGGGTAGGGGTGCAGGGCGGAGGGTAGGGGTGCAGGGCGGAGGGTAGGGGTGCAGGGCGGAGGGTAGGGGTGCAGGGCGGAGGGTAGGGATGCAGGGCGGAGGGTAGGGGTGCAGGGCGGAGGGTAGGGGTGCAGGGCGGAGGGTAGGGGTGCAGGGCGGAGGGTAGGGGTGCAGGGCGGAGGGTAGGGGTGCAGGGCGGAGGGTAGGGGTGCAGGGCGGAGGGTAGGGGTGCAGGGTGGAGGGTAGGGGTGCAGGGTGGAGGGTAGGGGTGTAGGGCAAGGGTGATTCTGAGCTGAAGCCCCGCCATGGGAGTTTGTGGTCCCTGGCGTGTCCTGCGGGCGGGCAGGAGCGATGGCCAGGCTTGCCGGGCGGCCACCAGCTGTGAGGCCCTGCAGGGAGGCTGGAACCTGCACAGTCACTCTCGTAGTGGTGGGCGCCACAAAGCCGCTGACCACCCTGGTTCGGGCGTAGTCAGACACTCAAACAGGCAGATGGGCAGGAGCAGGGCGGGGTGCAGCCGCAGCCCTGCCCACTGGACACCAGGGCTTTCTGGCGCTTCCCCCCTGTTGTTCTCCCCGGGGGCCGCCCCAGGGGTGCTCAGGGCTCCCGGGTCCCTGCTGGAGGGGCCCAGCTGGCCTGTGGGCCCAGGGCAGGTGCCCCCGTCCTGAGCTCTGGCCTCTCCCGCCGTCCTGAGCCGGAGAGACCAGGGTCGGGCCCACAGGGGGCTGAGAGCCTGGAGAGAGGAGGTGGGGGAGCAGCGCAGAGACCCCAGGCCCACACACAGCCAGGCGCGAGTCCGAGCGAGAGAAGAGCCGAAGCCTGGGAGCACAGGCGCCCAGCCCCTGCCCACCGTCCACCCCACGCCCTCGCCCTCTGCCCTCCTCCCTGCGCCCTCTGCCCTGCACCTTCCTCCCCGCGTCCCTTACTCTCTGCCCTGTGCCCTTTAGCCTTTGCCCTGCGCCCTTTGCCCTCTGCCCTATACCTCTGTCTCCGCAGCTGCTCTAACCTGACCACCCCTTAAAGACAAAGACATTGGCTGCCCGCCTGGGGTCTGACTCGCCCTCCCGACTCTCCCTGTGAGCACTGGGTGTGGGGCAGCATCCTGCAGTGCCCAGGGCTCTGGCCAGTGCTGCCCACTGGGCTGGCCTGTGGCTCTGTGTTCGGGCTGCGAGGGCAGAGTGGGGTCGGGGGTGCCTGCACCCACCCAGGCCCCGTAGAGCCCGGCCCCCCCGGCCCCCGGTGCTCAGACACGGCCAGGGACACTCGGGAGCTCACAGGAGCCGTGGACAGGGTCGGGGGGACACTCAGGACACGGACACAGTGAACAGGGGCAGGGGACACAGAGTGGACAGGGCTGGGGGACACAGTGGACAGGTCTGAGGTGTGACCGCTCGAATCTCCCTGCATGGACCGGCAGCCCCACGCCCTCTCGGCTCGCAGAGGGGACATCTCCCCTCTCCCGCTCCTCTCTCCCTGCACGAGGGGCTGGGGAGCGTCTGGCCGGCCCTGGTCACGAGAAGGGCCATTACAGGATGACGACGAGACCCTCCTGCCCGTGTGGATGTGCTTGGGGGCTGCTGGCCAGAGGCGCCCAACCAGGGGCCATGGGAGACACAGCACCCCCCCTCGCTGTCCCCCTGAGCAGCGGGGGCGTGCGGCCACTCAGCGCTGCTGTCCCCGCAGACTACCTGCACGTGACGGACGTGCACCTGTTCAAGGAGCAGTGGGACAGCAACAAGGTGGACCACCACACCGACAGGTTCGACAGTGACAAGCTCATCGTGCGGCGTGGGCAGACCTTCTACGTGCAGATCGACTTCGACCGCCCCTACGACCCGCGCAGAGACTTCTTCAGGATTGAGTACGTCATCGGTGAGTCCCGTGGGGCAGCCGAGGCTCTGGGCTCCCCGCCTGGCCAGTCCTCAGCCCCAGCTGTGGGTGAGTCAGGGAGTGCTGGCCGACATGAGCCCCTTCCCGGGCACACTCCGGCCGGATGTGGGCAAGGGCCGAGGGAGGTGGCTCTGCTCCTGTCCCGGGGGCACCGCGGGGACGCTCGCTCCAGCCCCCCTTGAGCCCGAGCCCGTGGTGACCTGTGGCGGGCAGACCTGCTTCTCCTTCTCAGAGCTGCTGCCGGTCGAGTCCCGTCTCTCGGCGGCTCTGGCCGGGCTGTTGGCTCTTCGGGCTCCTCACGGTCAGCTTGAGGACAGACTCAGGGGGAGGCAGTTTCTGGTGCCTGGTGGATCCTAGAGACGCTTCCCTGCAAGTGTCCAGTCTGGCCACCAGCACTGACACAGGACTCACGACTGAGTGTCGGGGACCCCAGGCCGAGTGAGTCCCCGCGGGAGGCCTCAGACCGTGGCTCACCAGGAGAGACGCCACGGCAGCTCAGGCACAGACGGGGCAGTGGTCGGCTTACACGAATGAAAGTGACCTGCGCAAGGCCCAACGACCGAGGAGGGGCAGCGTGCCCACACCCTCGAGGTGCCGACAGAAGATAAACACGAGCAATTCAACAGTTTCCCTTCTCCGGCACTAAGGGCGCCGAGGCAGGAATGAGACAAGACACACACATGTGATCAAAACTACGAAATGGGCATGACCTAAAAACAAGGCGCGCTGGGCAGGGGTCCAGGCAGGGATCAGGGCTGGGCGGGGTCAGGGCTGGGCAGGGTCAGTCTGGGGGAGGCCAGGGCCAGCCTGGGGTTGCTGGGCATGCAGGTCCCCGAGGCGGGCCGGTGGCAGGGTACATGGGGTCGGGGTTTTCTTTGGCCCCTCTGAGTGCCCGCGGCTGGCAGGACTCAGAGTGGCAGAACAGGGGTCAGCAGAGGACAGCTGCCTCGTGCGGGCACTTTCAAGACTGTCTCTGAGCATGGGAAGCAGCTAGAGGCCCGCCAGCCCCCAGGCCCTCTCCTGTGAGCTCAGCAGGTGCAGACCCTTGTGGGCACATCCACCGGGCAGGCCGCCCGGCCCAGGCTGTTAGATAAAGCCCGAGAGGGGGTTCGAAGGCGCTGCCAGGCCGGCCCTGCTCCCCGCCCGCACGGGCCAGCCTCAGGCCTGCACAGGCCACTCTGCCAGCACCGGCTGAGTCCTGTCCGGTGGGGCCGGGCCTCCTGTGGCGGCGCCCTCTGACCCCTGCCCCCCCCCCGCAGGCCGCTACCCCATGGAGAACAAGGGCACCTACATCCCTGTGCCCCTCGTCCGCGAGCTGCAGAAGGGCAAGTGGGGGGCCAAGGTGGTGCTGCGGGAGGGCCGCTCCGTGCGCCTGAGTATCCAGTCCTCGCCCCAGTGCATCGTGGGCAAGTTCCGAATGTACGTGGCTGTCTGGACCCCCTACGGCATCCTGCGGACCCTCCGGAACCCGGCCACCGACACCTACATCCTCTTCAACCCCTGGTGTGAGGGTAAGTGGGGCACCCACCGGCCCCGTCCCCCGCCCCGTCCACACCCCTGTGGGGGTCTGTGGGGTCCATGGGGGGTCTGTCGGGTCTGTTGGGTCTGTGAGGGTCTGTGGGGGTCTGTAGGGTCCATGGGGATCTGTTGGGTCTGTGGGGGCCGTGGGGGTCTGTCAGGTCTGTGGGGGTCCGTGGGGCATGTGGGGGCGTGGGGAGACTGTGGGCCACTGGCTTGCAGGGAGCTGCAGTGTCAGGGACAGACCCTGAAGACCCTGCCCAGCAGCCCCAGGAAGGGTGGACACTGGCCAGGAACCGCGGTGGGAGGGAACCTCTGGGAACTGTGACCCCAGGGAGCCCACGTGGGCTGCAGAGACTCGAGGCGCCATGGGCTCCACAGGCCCAGGGAAACCGACGGGGGCCGGACACAGCTCCAAGCCGCTGCCAAAGGCTCTGCATCCTCGGGGCGTGTGTCCAGGCCATTCGTCCTCCCTGACGGCCAGTCGTTAGCGGTCAATGGCTCAGGGGCTCAGGGGACTGACTCCTGCCGGCTTCTTGGAGTCTGGGTTGCTGGACTCCCTGGGCCTCAGGGACTGGCCTCGAGGTTTCAGTCACACTCTGCAGACTGGCCGCCCAGAGAGCCCTGGTGCCCCTCCCCCTCCCTCTTTCCTCCTCCCCCTCCTCCCTCCTTCCCCTCCTCACTCTCCCCTGTCCCCCCTTCCTCCCTCCCTCCCCCGTCACTCCCTGCCCAGCAATGCCCAGGGCCCCCAGGGCTGTGTCCAGCAGTGCTGGTGCTCTGGGCCTGTGTTGTCCCAGGGGTGTTCCGTCTCCCTGGCTGGGGTTTGAGAGTCTTTGCAACAGCCATGGGACGCCGTCATGGGCCCTGCTGACCGTCCCTGCTCAGACCACGTCCCCCCTCACCCCCTCGGCCATCGGCCCGCAAGCTCGTCTGACCCACTGGGTTGCGCCATCTGGATTTGGTCTTTCCCTGGCCGGTGGGGAGATTGCCTCATGCGCCACACTGAGTGTCCCCCATGCGGACGTGGGCTGAGTCCAACAAACAGGTCACGGTCAGGGCAGGGAGAACACTCACGAGTTACGCTGATGTGGGTGATTCATGCCTTTGCGGTGTGGAATTTTCACACCCAAGAAGGAACTTTCTGGAGGTTTTCACTCAAACCTTTGATGAGCTCTGAGTCTATTTTTATCATAAAGATTTCCAAACAAAATCAAAGGTGCGAGAAGAGCACAGTGAGTGCTCACCCACTTCCCACCAGAGCACCAAGATCTGGCCACGGTCCCTTTGACCATCACTTTTCCTTAGATTTTGCCCATTTCCAAGAAAATGACAATCATCCCGCTATTCTATCTGGGCTTATGTTTGCGCTCCTCCTTTTAATAAGGCACTTGCATCTACAGGTGTGTGTACACATGCACACATGGACACGTGTGTGCAAGCATGCGCACTTACACGCATGCCTCAGAGAGCTCCTGGTGGACGATCCCCGCTCAGGTTTCACATCGAAGTCCCCTTGCTGAGGCCCACGTCCCTGATCGCACTGAGCGAGTGTCTCCTGAGCCCTGACCAAGGACAGCCCTGCCCATCTGCTGTCCACACTGTGACCAGCCCAGCCCAGCCCCTGCCCACTGTTTCCTCCCCGTGCTGGGCCTGAGTCTGAGCCACTGCCCCCGGCCATGCTGCTGGCCCCTGGGACCATCCGGACCCTTCCCCACCCGCAGGCCCCGTGAGGAGTGGGGCGGAGGTCTTGATCCCAGACTCGGGGCCGCCCCCGTGGCTCACTGTGTTTCCCGGGGTGGGGGTTGGTGGTGATCACGAGCAGGGAAGACCACCTGCCACCCACCGCATCGGGAGAGACAGCCGGTCAGGCTGACCACCTCCTCATGCTCGGATTCAAGGGCCCCCCGCCCATAAAGATGCCCGGGAGCCTTTCGCAAATGAAAGTTCCGCTTGGCTGGCCGCAGGGTCTCCCCCGGGACTCTCAGGGGCTCCGTTCTAATCCGCCACCGCCGTGCGCCTCGGTGGGAGTCCAGAAGCCATGCGTGCTCCTCGAGCTCCCAGGGTGAGGAGCAGGTCCCAGCCCCGAGCATGGCCATGTGGCTGCCCCGTCCCTGGGAACCGCGGTGACATTCCCGGCCAGCTGCAGGGTGAGCAAGCGGCCCCTGCGGGTGGGACTCGGCTCTGCGGGGAGGCTGCTTGTCTGATATTGGAGCCCTGGGCTGCGTTCTGGGTATTGGGTGCCGGGTCTGGGCAGGCTCTGGATTTGGGAGTTCTGGGTTCTGGATCCTGGGCTCTGGATTCTAAGTTCTGGAGATTGCTTGGCCCCGTTGAGCTGGTCTCTGTCTCTGTCGTGACAGCGGAGTCTCCAGGAGCTGCTTGGTTCCTGTGGGAAGCAGGGCTTGGGGGGGTGGCACGCCTGCCGCTGCCCACACCCCTGCCCGCAGGCACCTTTCTCTGGAGGCGCCTCTCGGGTGGGGGCCGGGCCCTGCCCAGAGACTGCCAGGGGCTCTTCTGGCTACTCTGAGGGTTCTTCTCGTCCCCCTACCCCCCACCAGTGGAGAAACACTAGGAAGTTTGATTTTAAGGAGGAAAACGCTCTGTGAGATACTGTGTCCCCCCGTGGCTGTCCTCTGACCCCTGTCTCAGACCTGTGCTCTGGTGGGGTGACACCGTGGCTGCAACCATGTGCCGTGGCCGAGGTGTTTGCAGCGTTGCTATGTGTGGCTGTGCTCAGCACTGAGCACCCCGCCCACTGTCTGACACAGACCCGAAACTCTCTCTGTGGCCACAGCCTGGCAGGCTTCCTGGCGTGCCCACGGCAGGGGCAGTGGAGACCTGGGCCTGCTGAGAGGACGGTGACCATCCCAGGGCCCTGCTCTGTGGGACGGAGAAAGATGGACGCCCTGGGGGTCAAAGGGCTGGAGGGGCCCACAGAGGGGGCAGGAGGACACAGTCAGGCCCACGCCCAGGCTCCGCGCCCCTCCAGCCGGCCGGCGGTCAGCACAGACCTGACCCTGTCGTCAGCACAGCAGGGAGGCCAGGCCTGAGGGTGGCAGAGGAACAAACCGAGACTCGCTCATACTCTGCCATCCAAACCGACCACACACACACATACACACACACACACGCACACACACATACACATGCACACACATACATGCACACACATGTACACGCATACACACATGCACACATATACACGTGCACACACATCCACACATACATGCACACACATGTACACATACACCCGCACACACATGCACACATACACACATGCACACACATACATATACATACACGCATACACACATGCACACACATGCATACACACCTACAAATATGTACGCACAAACACACATACACATACATGCACACGTGTGAATACACACAGACACAGACACACAGACATACGTGCACACACGTGCCCACACGCACACCCCTCCTGGAGGCTGACTGGCTGTGAGCATCAGATGCTCACTGGGAAGGAGCAGAGGCTGATGGAGGGGGGGGGGGGAGGGGCCCGCCCAGCTCGCCGGCCCCCGCCCTGCCCGGCCTGCAGCCCTCGGGGCTGCTCCCAGGCTCTCGCTGCTGCTAAAGTGGTTTCCAAATTTCAGAGAACAGCACATCAATCCTGACACGCGCTGACCCGGGCGCGTCCACCGACAGCCTCAGGATCATTTTACAAAACACCCGCATTGACACGAGCTCCAGGCAGTGCTTTCAACCTCCTCTCGGTTCATCCTGAGAGCGAGACAATAAACCGGCAGCGGCAGCGGGGGGGGGGGGGGGGGGGGGGGGGGGGGGGGGGGGGAAGTAGCCGGTGCTTTCATTTATTAAATGCCTGTGATGGTCCCGCACCCTTTTCTGCCTCTGTCAGAAGGACAGGAGGGAAGGAGGCCCTGGGCAGGGCCAGGCAGCGGCACGTGGCCGGGCCTGCCGGGGAGCCGGGCTGCCAAGAGGAGGCTGAGGCTTTTGAGGGTCTGGGGGCCCAGGTAGCCGGGCGTCCCAGGGGCCCCAGCCTCGGCAGGGGACTCGCGCCTTCTCCTCTGCGCCGAGTGGGGCGAGGCGGCCGATCGCCGCTCTCAGGTGCACGGGCTGTCGCAGACCCTGGGGGCGGTCGGGTTTTCCTTTCCTTTGGTTGCTCTTCACTCCCTGACGTCTGCGGGAGTTTACAGGCGGTTTACACGTGTCTCGGAATAGCAGGGCTGGTATTGCTTCCCACGGGCGCATTCCCAGGCACTGGCTCTGCCGTTTACTTGTGTTCCCGCTTCCTCATCCCATAACTCTCGGGCCGGCAGTGAAGGTGCTCTCAGCCCATGCGGGCCCGTCACGGCTGTCTCTCTCGCTTCTCGCTTTGCTTCCTCCCGACTCACTCACGCTGCCCCATTACCCGCAGAACCCGCAGAGATGGCCCCAGTCAGCTGCTGACCCTGCCGCTGGGCCCACCCCGCTGGCGCCCGCCTCACTGGTGTCCACTCGCTGGTGTCCTCTCTGGTGCCCGCTCCCTGGTCCCACCTTTGAAGCGGCTGCATATGGTGTGTGGATGCAGCTGGTTCTGTTCGCCCAGAAACATGGCGGCCAAGGAGGGCATCTGTGCACAGCTGTGTCCCCTGGCCAGTCCCTCACCCCATTAGCCAGCGGGGGTCGGGACGAGGGTCCTCCTCTGAGCCCACTCCCCGGCCTGTGTCACCTGCGTCCGGGTCGGTTCTTGGGACTGTGAGTGCTTGCGGGGGAGTGGGGGTGGGTGGACGTCCCTGTCCCAGGCCTCTGGAAGCAGGCGAGCGGGTAGGGGACAGGGACAGGTTCAGTTCAGGCCACAGAGTCGCTGGATTCTTCGCACCCCAGTGACGAGCCGGCACCAGCGGGGCTGGGCCTGGAGCCCACTGGAGCCCCTGACCCCGCGCCAGGCACTGAGCTACCCCTGGCCCCTTCCCTGCCGCCGTGCCCGCATCAACAGGCCCCTCACACGTGGTCTGGGTGCCCCGAGACCCCCTACCCCTCGGGGCTGGACCAGCAGGACCCAGCCAGGCTCACACCCATGGCCTCGCCCGACCCCCCCGGACGCCCATCTCATCCCTTCCTCTGACCTCTCTCGTCCCTTCCTCTGACCCTCTGGACACCTGTCTCGTCCCTTCCTCTGACCCCCCGGATGCCCATCTTGTTCCTTCCTCTCTGGAGCCCGGGCAGCAGAGCGCGTGTGACAGTGTCCGAGTCCCCACACGCTGGTGTCCCGCCGATCTCCCCTCTAGTGTGCAGACACGGGGACGCGTTCCGGGGTGGGAGGGGAGACCTCCACTCGGTTCCTCTGCCTCGGGCACCCAGTGGATCCAGAAAGTTCCATCTGTGGGAATATTGTTTCCATCTATCTTCATTCCTCTGCAGGTAATATTTTTTAACTCGACCTTAAAGTGCTTTTCCCCCCTTTGTGATCTCAACCATCCCCACAGTTAAAACAATGTCATCAAAGAATAACACCAGAATAGCCTTCCCCTGGGCGGGCGTGCCCTGCCGAGACCCAGGCAGTGCACTCGCGTCCTTTGCTCTTGGGATGAAAGCGCCCGTCCACGCGTCCCTGAGAGGCAGGCCTGGCGGTCCCTTCTTTGCCTCTGGTCGGTGGGCCCTGGAAACGAAGCTGTCCTCTAGTTTAGGGGCTTCGCCGAGAGGTTCTGGTGGAAGCCCAGCTGTGCCGGCAGCCGAGTGCCTGGCATCAAAGCCAGGCTGATCCCCCAGCACGGGGCTCTGGGTTCTTCTGGAGGATGAAGCCGTGTTGGAGAGATGAGCCTCTGACGCCAACCGCATGCGGGTTCTCAGAATAATCGGCACCAAGAGACCAGGCCCGCCAGACTCACTGTTCTGGAAACACAAGAAAACACGCGGGAGCAGCAGCCGGACTGTGGCGGGGGCGAGGGCCGAGTGTTGCGGGGGCAGCCCAGGAGGCTCTTGCTCTGCACGGCCGGCCCGGGCTCCACCCGGCCCCCTCGGGCCTCCAGCACTGCCGGGCCTGAAGCCGAGGAGCAGAGCTGGGGGCCCACTGGGCCCAGAGCAGAGAGCCCGGGGGCTTGGGGGCCGCACAAGCTGAAGGGCCTCGTCCACAGGGTGTGTCACCCGTGCACACTGCTGGTGTCAGTAGAGGTGTTTATGTGTGTGTGTGTGCGATGTGCGTGCAATGTGCGTGTGCCTGCGAGTTTGTGCCGGCGTGTGTGTGCATGTGTGTGTAATGTGTGTGTGTGGTGTGTGTGGTATGCGTGGTATGCGTGTTTGTGTGTGTGTGCATGTGTGTACGTGTGTTTGTGTGTGTGCATGTGTGCATGCACACGGTTTCCTGAGACCAGGCATGGGCAGGAGGAGGGGAGGGAGTGAGGAAAGGCCAGAGGTCCCAGGGAGTGGACAATGCTGAGGTGGACGTCAGGGCACCCGCTGGCATGGCTGGGCAAGGGCCTGCAGCCCCCAGTGCTGACACCTCCTGGCAGGCTCTGCCTGTGCCCTCCTGCCCTGGGGCGTCCGGCCCAGCCCTGCCACGCTGGGCATCTCTCCTGCGTGCTCTGGGCTGTGGGGTCTCTTGGCCCACTCTCACGCAGCGGCTCTCTCGCAGGCGCCCAGCGTCTCCCTCGCCCAGGTGGTGGCTGGGCGGCGCTGGGCAGTGTGGCTCAGAGGGAGGGAGGGAAGTGGCCTTCTCGGGAGCTGGAGGAAAACCCCCCAAGCGGCCAGTCCTGGGGGTCTGTCTGCCCAGGCCACACCGCCACTGGGGCCAGGACTGAGCCCAGAGATGTCCTGTCCTGCCAGGGCTCTTGGTCCTGACCTGCCCGGTGTCGGGAGCACAGACCACACACTGGGCTGCTCCACAGACCTGAGACATGGTGGTTCGTGGCTCTGCGGCATCCTGTGTTCACCGCCGTCCTTCGTGGGCCCAGAGAGGGGGACAGGCTCCCTGTGGGCAGCAGAAGACAAGCCCTCCCCTGTGTGTCTGAACCGCAGCCTAGGGGGCAGGACCCAATAGGGCACATGGACTGGGGTCAGCTCGTGATGGTCTGTGTCTCTTCCCCTGCAGAGGACGCCGTGTTCATGGACGAGGAGAAGGACCGAGAGGAGTACGTCCTCAATGACATCGGGGTCATTTTCTATGGGGAAGCCAAGGATATCAAGAGCAGGAGCTGGAGCTATGGGCAGGTGAGCTATCCCCGCACTCGTGGGGGGTGTCCCAGTGCCTCCCTGTGGCCAGGTGGGTCAAACTGGGAGGCCCCCGCACCCCGGACCCTGAGGCCCAGAGGTGCTGCAGTCTCCACTCTAGCCGCCGCAGGGCCCAGGCCTGCTGGAGGGGCAGAGTGACCCGAGGCCGCGGCAAGGCTGTGTCCCGCTCAGAAAGGGCTCCCCACCTCCGTGGCTGGGAATGCCTCCATCCCCGCAAGCAGAAGCCAGACCCCATGCCCGGGCAGGGCCCAGGCCTGCCAGCAGTGCCCACTGGTCTGGAGGCAGCTTCCGACGACACAGCCTCTCAGGGGTCTGGGCATCTCCCACGAGGGAGCACACGCAGGCTCAGGGGGCCACAGGGACAATGTTTGGGTCCACTCAGGTGGAGGGTTGAGTTGTGCACGTGTTGCTGTGGGTAGAGGTGGGCCGGGTGACTGTGTGCCTGTGTGAGTGCACTGTGGGTGCAGGCGTGTAGGTGCGCATTTACGTGCTTCTGGGTAGATGGGGCTGCATGTCGGTGTACATACGTGTGTGTGTGGATGGACATACATGGCTGTGTATGTGTGTAACTGTGTTCATGTGTGACATGTGGATGTGTGTGAGGATGGATGGAGGTAGGTGTGCATGTGTGTGACTGTGTGGACGTGAGTACGTGTGGTGGATACATGTGGCCTTGTAGGTACACATATGTGTTGTGTGTATATGTGTGTAACTCGTGCACGTCCACTCCCCGTCCCCCGTGTCCCGTTCCCCCATGTCCCGTCCCCCCATGTGCCCCCTGTGGCCATCCTGCTGCCCCTCTGGACACTGGCCCCTGGAGGCGAGCCCTGGCCAGGCTCTCTCCCCGTGGACAGCGTCCTCACTCCCTCTTTCCCGCCCAGTTCGAGGACGGCATCCTGGACGCGTGTCTATACCTGATGGACCGGGCACAGATGGACCTGTCGGGCCGGGGGAACCCCATCAAGGTCAGCCGCGTGGGCTCCGCCATGGTGAGTCCTGCGGCCGGTCCAGGGGCCCCTCCCCGTCGGCGTGTCCTCCCCGGGAGGAGCAGGGACACGCCTGCGTCCATCCTCCAGACCAAACTCTGGCTCTGCGTGGGGGGCAGCATGGGGGCTCACGGAACCCCACTGCACACGTGGGGCCCTGCAGGAGGCCCAGGAGGAGCGGCTGGGGAGGGGCCGGGAAGGGCTGTGGACATGCCACAGCCCGTCTTCTCTGGGGACCCCGGAGATGGGGGGCTTCGCCGTAAGCTCTCTAGTGGGGTGGGGGGGCACCCTGTGGCCTCCCAGCCTCCCTGTTCCCTGGGCCGAGGCTCTCCGGGCACCGGCAGGGCGGCAGGGCCACACAGCTCCCCCCACACGCAGGGCACCATGGAACAGACCAGTGTGTCCCTGGGCTCAGCCAACAGTGCTCCTGAGCCCCACAGCTCACCTGTGGCCTGCCCCTGAGCAATGCAGCAGAGGGAGAGGCAGAAGGCCGAGCCCTGAGGCTCCCGGGAGGACGCGACCGGTGGGCACAGATGGAGGGTTGGGGGCTCTGTCCAGCCTTCACGCTCAGAGAAGCACGGCAGCCCCTCACAGGCCCTGCGGCCCCAACACGAAGGGGACCCGCGTCCAGGCAAAGGCCACATCCCGTATCCTCACGCTGCCAGATTGGGGGGCTCCCAAACAGTGCTCAGGGGTCCTGGGTCACGAGGTTGATGCCAGGGCTTGAGGCTGCCAGGCGTGCCAGGCCTGGTGCCTCCAGAACAGTGCCCTGTTTGCATCTGCCTGGACGAGCACCAACGTGGCCACCAACACGGCAAATGTCTTCGACAAGGATTCCCTGTCGAGTCACTTCTGGTGTGTGCGGAGTGAAGCGGCTCTTGGTGCCAGTTCAGAGCCGGGGGCGGGGGCGGGGAGCGGTTCAGAGCAGCCGCTGCCTCCCTGGGGTCCCCGCTGTGGGACGAGGGGCGCGCGCCACGACCCTCGGGTCTCAGAGGATCGCCCTTCGTCCCAAGGTCCCGGGGCAGCCGCCGTGAGGACGGGGGTCGTGCGGGCGGGGGGACCAGCCTCTGCTCACACCCGCGGTGTGTTTTTGCTCAGCTCCGTCGCTGCAGCGTTGCAGGAGGGAGGGAAGCCGCGTGGGAGCGGCAGCCAGCACTTCCCGCCTGGCACCCGGCCACGTGGCGCTGCGAAGTCTCGAATTAAGCCCATAATCCCAATGCAAATTGCCTGCAAATCGCATTAATCACAAAAAGCCGGGGAAGTGCTCGGTCTGAGAGCCTGTAACCCAGTGGCAGCAGTTCCAGGGAGAGTCAGCGGGAGGGGTCTGCTCTGGTCTGGTGAAACGGGGGGGGGGGGTGCATTCCCTGCCCGCCCCCCCGCCGCTGACAGATGCACGGGAGGCGTTTGGCCCTCGAAGGCCCCACACGCGCGCCCCTAAATCCTTAGAAGAGCTCTGTGCGTCTTTCCAAAGCCCACCCCGTTCAAATGATTCCAGAAGCTAAAATATTGAGCCTCGAAAAAAATCAATAGAAAAAAGATATATCTTTTTTTAGGAGGAAAAGAATAATCAGCCGCTTCCTGGCCGCTCCAGCAGTTCCCTTGCTCAGCACCCGGGAATCTGTCATGAAGTTGCCGAGTGAATTCAAACAAAGGCAGAGGGAGCGTGGGCCCTCCGAGTTGAGTCTCGGAGGTGGGCTTCAAACATGGGCGTCTGTGGGGAGTCCCAAAAAGTGAGCGCCTGTTCCCACAGCCCCGAGGACACCGCCTGGGACGCAGAGGCTGTCTCGGGGTCCCTGCAGGCACCCCCAGTTGTACGCAGGCTGGGACAGACATGCTGGGTTGCTGGTCCTGGGGTCAGGGAGCAGCAACCTTGGCCCTGGGGTGGGGGTCCGCAGGGTCCCAGCACAGAGGAAGGAGGGACGGGGCAGCTGCCCCGGGACCCGAGGATGTGAGGCCCAGCCAACGAGGGGCTGAGACAGCTCGCGTGCAGGGGCCACCTGGTCCTCCACGCCCCCAGAGGGCAGAGATACATGGTCTCCGGCGTCCACCCTTCATGCCCAGCGTCCACCCCCTCGGCCTGTCCAGGGGCAGCTTCCAGCCCTCCAGCCTGTCCGCGTGACCACCGGAGAGCACCCGGCCCCTCTCTGGGCGGTTCCTCCTCCTGAGTTCCCGGAACACGTCACGGGCAGGTCTGGCTGGAGGCTCCCCAGTCCCGTTGATGGGGAGACCCTGGGGTGTGAGGTCACTCAAGGTCGCATGATGAGGGTCGGTGCCGACTCCCACCTCTCTCGGGGCCCAGCACCTTGCAGCCACCTAACGCAGCTCCCAGGAAATCAGGCTGAAGCCAACGACACAGGAGGATGGGTGAGGGGACTCGGGGCTCGGGGAGAGACACGGGGGCCTGAGACCAGCGTGAGTGGGGACAAAGGACCTTGAAGGTGGTGGGAGTCATGGTGAGGGTGGTATGATGGTGACGGTCACACAGTGATGGTGACACAGTGATGGTGGTGACAACAGTGTTGGTGTCCCTTCTGACCAGGTGATAGTAAGACCTTCAGTAGTCACTCATTCAGTCAGTCAGAGTGTATTGACAATCTGCCTGTCCGAGCACTAGGCTGCAGCTTCAGACAAACACGTCTGACACACAGGTCCTCCTCCTGGTGGGAAGCGGGTCCGTGGGAAACCCAGTACAGTTGCAGCCTCTCTGCTGAAGTAAGGGGCCTTGCGCCGGCGGTGGTTCCTTCCTGAGGGGTTTCCCCAGGGCTAGGACTGGCCTGCCCAGCGTGGGGATCGGGTCAGGGCCTGGGCAGTAGCCACCCCGCAGGAAACAGACCTTACCAGCCTGGCAGACCCAGATACCAAGGACAGTGGCAGCGCAGGGGAGGGGGAGGGAGGGAGCAGGGCGGGGCCGGAGGTGCAGGGTGTGACCTGCTCCTCTGAGCCTTAACGTGCAGCTGTAATTTTTTAAAAAAATTTTATTAGCAACTTTTCGGGGATGTTCTGGGAGTCCTGGAGGGATGAGGAGAAGGTGCCACGCGGTCACATATTCTTGAGTCCGTCTTTATCCTGTTGCCAGCTCGGATTTTCTTGCTCCCTTGAGAGGTGTGCATTTATTTTTAACCCTGGTCTTTTGCTAATATCGAACCAGGATACCATCATTAATCCCCATTAATCCCCTGTTCTGACGCTGTCTTTGGGGAGCAAACTCAAGATCGAGCCCTTTTTTTTTTAACCAATCGATGTTCAATGTACTCTTTAGTCTTATTAAAAAAACTATCACGAACTCCAGCTAGTAAATCAGCCAGACTAGAGTGGAGGCAGGCCCGGCCCGGCCAGCCGGATCAGTGCCTGGGGCCTGGCCTCTGGCTGGGCCTGTGATCGAGGGAGGGGGCTGCCCTTGGCGTTGGCGCCCCCTCCCTGCCCAGTGCACCAGCCGCGTCCCCCCTACCTGTCCCGGGACGTCGCTGGGTTTTCTCCCACCTTGCAGCAGGCGTGGCTCCATGACCCGCAGACTGTCCCTGCCACAGTCCCCACCTCACCAGCTGCCCTTCAGCATCCATCTGGTCAGTAGCCGCCCACCTGCCCTCTCCCCCGGGCAGCCGAGTCAGAACTGGCCTAGCCCCGGCTGTGCGGCACCGCAAGACGGGCCACCTCGCTGTTTCGTTTAGTTTTGAAAATGCTGCTTCTCTTTCAGTTCATAAGCGCCTGTGTCCCTTCCTGGGGTCGGCCATCCTGGGGAGATGTGGGTCCGGGCACCCTGCGCCCCCAGCCCTCTGTGTGCAGGGGTGAGCACGGGCTCTCCGACTCTTGCAGATCCCCGAGGGGAAAAACCTGGTGTGTGGGAGGGGAGGGTGGCCCCACCTTCCTTTAGGGGGGGCCTGGGAGTGACCACGCCAGGCCACCCAGCCCAGCCGGGACCCGCCACTCCGCAACTCAAAGGCTGAGGTGCCCAGAAAGTGCCCACCCTGGGGCTGGCAGAGTTGGTGCCTCGTGGAACTGGGAAGGCGGTTTGGAAGCTTCAGGTTCTGGCCAGCAGCTGTGTCCAGGTCACTGGCCTTTGCACCAGGAGGGCCCCATGGCCCGGGTGGCATGGTCAGGCGACCATGTGTGAGCAGGTGAGCTCTGCGTGTGCCGCCAGCTGTTCTTCCAGGGGCTGTGGGGGGTGGCGCTTCCCCGGGGACGGGGCTCCTGGGCAGGACAGCCGGTGCTGTGGGACCCCTTCAGCCTCCCGGCCACTCCCACATGGCACAGAGTGACTGGTCAAGGGCCAGGGAGGTCAGGGGTGCAGGCGAGGGCAGGCAGGGCCTGCCCCAGCCCCTCAGGCTGACCCAGAACCTCCATCCTGCCTCTGTGAGTCTGGAAACAAAGGGGAGAGGGAGAGACAGACCCCCGGTGCCAGCCAGAGCCTTCGGGGGGGCCCAGCCCCCCGTTACAGCCTGTCCCCAGCCCCACCTCAGCCCTGTCCTCGTCCTGTCAGGGAGGATGAAACCTGAAGTTCTGCCCGATGAGAAACACTCACGTCCGGCGTGCGGGGCTTTGGGGGCTAGCAGCGGAGAACCCCAGGCGGGTGGGCGGGCAGGCGGGCGGAATGACTGCGGGGACGCAGGGGAGCAGGAGTGGGCCCGTGGGCTCGTCCCGCCCAGCTCGGCCCCCCGAGCGCCCTGTGCTCTGCCTCTGCTCGGTTCTGACAATCGGCAAATGCCACAGTCCGGCCGACCCTGCACTCGGGCAAGTGAGCAGAGAGCTGTGTAGGGCAGACTCAGGGCCGTGTCCAAGGACAGCTCCAAGGTCACGGGCTACGCTGGACACGGAGCTGGCCCCTGCGAGCCGCCCGTGTCCTCTGCCTGCCCTTCCCGGCTCCGGGGGACAGGCCGCCCGTCGCCGGCCCAGCCCGACTCGCTCCCTCTCCTCCGGGAGGGGAGGGCACGGGGAACGCGCCCCCTCCAGAGTGAGCTGCGCCAGTGATGAAGTTTCCATTTGTGGGCAAACAGCTTGGTTTTGCA